ACACACACACACACACACACACACACACACACACACACACACACACACACACAAAGCGATGTGGTGAGTCCTTATCCATCAGTCAAATGCATCCTGGGCAGACTGTCGGGGTTCAACCTCCTGATGAGTCGGTGAAAGTCTGACGAAACAGTCTGGTACAGTTATGCTTTTTTTGAGTGTATAGCGAATATGACAACACGCACAGCCTCCAACTAATTGAGGGCTGCGGACAGCCTTGGCCTACTGAAGTCAGTGGTTTCGCTCTCATCTCCTCCGATAAAGGAAAAAACATGCTGCTGTGCAAAGGGGAAATATCTAAGAGAAAAAGTTCTACCCTTGTGAACAACCACGGCACAAATGCCACGAATATGGCTCCCACTACAAGGGCCCGAACCCAACAGCAGTTCGGCAGTCTAGGGGCTGGTGAAATCGTGCATCTGAAACAAGAGGCTCTAAAACAGTGGTGGGTCAAATCTGCCCTTCCCCCCAGGCTAACTCACCTGTCTGGTGGTACTTCAAGAACCATACATGGGTTCAAACCCAAAGTCCAGCAACTTGCATGAGAGCTGTGTGTTTTGCTGGGGACTGTATGCGCGCCGAAGCATGTTTGCAAGGGCGCACACAGGGGGCAAGGGGGGTGTCTGCGAGCGGAAGGGCTAGGAGGGGCAATCTCACATAACAAGAGTGGTCGCCTGAAACAAAACACATTAAGATGCTGTAATTTTTTTCCCCATGTTTGCAGCAGCTGCGAGCAAAATGAAACAACACAACTAAACGTGGGCCCACACCAATGCCTTGTTTTGTTTCTAATCAGTAATTCAAAATGAACAAAGTCCCGAGAAGATCATCGCCATGATTGACGCCTAGCATCAACCACAGTCCTGACGTGCAGGAAATGCGTTGTGCACATTTATCAAGGTGCATAACACATTTGACTGGAAGAGAGCACACCTACAGCCATTGATGCACACGATTTGCCGGAATGAGGATGATGAGGCGCCAAACGACTCTGCCGATATGAGCTCTTGCGAGTCATCAGCCTGTTATCCCCGGCGTAACTTCGATCCGTTGAGCGAGAGCCCTTCCACACGGGCCCCCCGGATCACTATGGCCGACTTTCATCTCTGTTCGACTTGTACGTCTCACAGTCAGGCAGGCTTTTTTACCATTTCGCTCTACAGCTGCACAAAGCGCTAGCTTGAGCCTATTAGCTGGTTTAAAACAACAAGCCCTGTCAAGGAATGGAAAATGTAGAAACACCTTTTACCATTTCTGATGGGATATATGGCTCAACATTCTTTTTAGCTACTGGATTCCATGGCTTTCATCAAGTTTCATGTCATCAGAGGAACATCACAAACAGTGTGCACCACTAGGCAAAACAGGCCCCGCAGCCCATACTCTTTTAAAACACCAGTTCACCCGAGCCTATTCGTATGAAGCTACCTTCCAATGCTCGAGAGCCTCCAACAGGGCCTTTTCTTAGTGGCCTCCACAGGCCATCACCGGCCCAGGCCCGAAGCGATATGCTCTTATCTTGTGCACCCGAAAGAGCCCGACTTAGCTCCGGGTGAGCTGGTGGTTTAACCCAACCAGTACATGCCAGCCATCGGCCTCGGGCCTCTTTCGGAGGCCGCCCGCCGTCAATTTATTTTATTGACGGTGTGCGAACCTCCAAAACTTTAGGAGAGGCTCAATCGGACTCTCAACTTGGCTGCGGCCATGTACTGGTGCTTTAACAGGGTAAAGGAGAATTAGCCTACTTCACTGCCTTGCTAGTCGACAGAGATGCAAACCAGGTAGACACAGACATCAGCAGTCCTAAGGGAAACTCCACACCATCCAAGCAGGCCCTCAACTAGTTGCTGAAGTGGTCAGATAAGATACATCAGTGATTGAGACCAGGGCAGACTGATACAAAGCCAGGACTGGATGGCTGGGAGCACAGACGAGCATTAGACTAAACTGACGGACCAGCGCCGACTTCCCACTACTAATGAATGAAGCATGGGTGGAGATTGGCCACCTGAAATCAATTTGAATGTTCTGTTTGAACCTCCCACGGAGATTCTTCAATGCCGCAGTAGCCGCCTCAATACAGTCAAACTCGACAAAACGGCAAGGACCACGGAGAGTTCGTGCAGAACACACTTTCGTCACAGTACCCGCTCCAACCGCTGCACCATTGAAAACCATCTGCACATCTCTGTCATTAGAAAAGCATGCTGCCCCCTCGTCTGGAAGACAGACCCAGAGAGTGTTTGTTGGGACGCGCTCTCGATCGCCTGATTCCCTCGACACTGCTCTCCCTGAAAGTCCCCTTATCCGGGGCCCCACTTCACTCGAATGGCACCCAATTCCAGGGCTTTGCGAAACTTGGCCCGTGTGCAATACTTGCCCATTGACTCTTGACACAACCGCCACTCCACTCAAGGGTGGTGGCAACAACGGTCCTTGCGATGGAGACGCGGAGGCCAGCGATTGAGACCCAGCAACATTGGCAGCAGCAGTTGTGACTCCATTCCCAGCAACTGCTCCAGATAACCCAGAACCGACGCTCACCATCGGGTGCCTCAACAATGTGTTTTTAAACTCGACAACAATAGCTGAACCACCAATGACCATACCATGCAGGCGGGCCTTTGCTACACTTGCGGCCTCAGCTGATTTGAAGTCTATGAAACAGCAGCCATGCAGGAACTTCCATCCAGTCACCTCCCCAAACTGTGCAAATGCATCAAGTATGTCCTCCTCCCTCACAGCCGGATCAAGTTTCCCAACCCAGAGATGTCGACTAGCAGAAGCTGAGGACATTAACCCAGAAGCAGCATCCCGCAGGCACCCAACCTTCGGACTGGCTCCTCCTCCCAAACCCACACTACCACCATTTGCAGCACCGACACCTGCACCCACAACTGCGGACAAACCTCCCAAAGGCATTGGCCGTACCCCAGATGAGCCCAACCCTACCCCTCTTTTACTACTGCCAGAGCCATTGCTGAGTGAACCGGTGCCTAACGCTCGTTGCTGCCTCACATACAGCATTGCTGCTGCTGCGTCATCTGCAGAGTCGAACTCCAAGAGCAATGCACTTGCAAGGACAAGCACCTGCACAGACCGTGGACCTCTGAAACTTGAGATGGCTGCCATACTGGTCAGCAGGTCCTCCTTCAAACTTTGGCTGTCAATACCACCAATCCATACATGGATGCTTCCTCCACTAGACAACGACTGCCCTCGTTTTCCACTGCCACCATCTGAGAACTTGATTTGCAAGGGCTTGATCTGGCCCTCTGCTCGGAATGGCATTGTCCCGTGCATCGCCTCCCGAGCCCTTGCCGCATCCTTCACACTCCAGAAGTCCACAAACCCATAATCCCGGAACTTGAAAACAGTCACTGACTCCACTACTCCAAACTTCTCAAACTGGCTTTTCAACAGGTGCTCCGAGACCTCAGGACTGAGCGAGCCCACCCATAAATGCCGGCTTGCTATGAAGACATCCATAGAACCTGGCTCGCCCTCACAATACCAGCCTGACTGCAGCAAAACTGTCTGCAGAGTTGCAGCAGACCCAGAGCTTCCTGATCCAGACATGCTTGCCGACAGCCCCATTGTCGTCGCCAGCTCACTGGTTTGCTGCAGCAGCTTTGGAGGGGTTTGAGGTTGCTGAGGGGAAGGGAGAGACACTCCACCCTCCAGTCTTCTGCCATTCTCCTCCAGATGCACCTTCCCTCCTCCTCCACTGCCGCCTCCTGCTACTACTCCCGCTACCGCTGGTGCTCCTGTCGATGTTGGCCAGACAGCTCCTCCTACTGATCCATCACCGACGCACATACCGCTTATCCTTCCAATATCATTACCTCGGCTGCTAGGAGTTGAACAGCCCACATCTTCACCAGCCAACCCGCGCCCATCATGAGAATGTCCACCTGCATGCCACATCGGCAGGCATCCATCAGCCACATCACTCCCATCACTGCCGGCAAGGGTTCCATCACCTCTTGAAGAGTCAAGCCCACTAATCCACCCATAGTTCATTCCGCTGGAAAAGTGAACATCCATCCTATTTCCACGGAACAAACTTCTGCATCCTTCTTTTCGGCGCTGCCTGACATATGCACCTCCTCCACCTCCTCCCCCTCCCCCTACTCCAGCAGCTCCTCCACCCGCTCCCCCCCCCCCTCCTTGGTACATTCGTGTCACAGCAATTTCGTCCTGGATGCCACCGAAGCCTGCATCTTGTACGGACATCCGTGATTCGAGGCAATTCAAGCGAGCACAGTGCAGCGCTTGCAGCAATGTCTCCAAAAGTGGAGCCACCTCCAACACTGCATCAATAGGTGCCCCTTGACGAAATTCACGAACAGCACTGATCACCCACCATTCTATATCTGCACGACGACCAAGCACCTGCAGGGTGAAGCACACCTCAAAGGCGTCACTCATATATCCACATTCCTCGAGGGGTCCACCATAACAGGTATCAAAACAGGCCTATGCCACATCAAAGATATATTTTTCGCTTTCCTTTTCCATCACAGGGGCAAGGAGGCATGGATGTCATGGTGTGATAAAGACCATAGACGTTGAAGGTCAGGGAAGAGCATAGATGTCATGGTGTGATACAGAATCAGGGAAGAGCATAGATGTCATGGTGTGATAGAGAATGAAGGTACAAGTACCAGGGTGAAGGGGAATGAAAGCGAACAAAGGAGACCAGAGCGGAGGGGAGGTCAGCAGATATGAGTGACGAAGGGCCGAGGTTAGGGAACCAGAGAGTCAGAGCCAATGGCGGCAGTGAGATGTGTAGAACCGGAAGCCATGGAGCACAGCAGATGGAGGTTGTGGGGACCATGGCGAGGAGGAAGGAGAGAAAAGGCAGTGCAAAGGGCCGCATGCAAGAGGCAGAACAGCGGAGGGGAGCACACAGAGGGAATTGAGCCGGCAAGGAGCAGATGTGAGGAGCGAGGATAGAGGAGGGGGCAGAAGTTGAAGGTCAGGAAACGGGGAGGGAAAGGGGGAGCAGATAGGGGCAGCAGAGGAGCACTCAGGAGAGCTGTGCAGTGCACGGCATGGGAACTGCGTGGAAGCAGACAGCCAAGAGCAGCAGAACCGCAACCGCAGTCAATGCGTATGGAGGTGAGGGAAGACTGGAGCACGTGGAGAGATGTAGCCGTCAGAAGGAAGGGAGCAGATGCGGGGCACAGGGGAAAAGTGGGACGCACACCAGACAGAAGCTGCGCCAGAGGAGTGGAATGGCCAGGACAACAGAATTGGAGACTTAGGATTTATGTAATACTGCACAGGAACTGAAATACCAGTCGAATGTATTTGAGCGTTATCTGAGGCAAAACTCCTCAGACTTAAGTCGAGAGTTATCTTCAGATTCCAGACCAAGATTTTACAAGGTTGGCGGGAGGAGTTCGGAGGAAGGAGGTAGAGGAAGGGTTGCAGAGTAGAGTGCACAGGAGGGCGGGGGAAAGCAATTCGAATTTGCACTGGCTACAAATTTACGTGTCAGGTTCGAGTAGCGGAAGATCAAGTGCAGCATCTGTTCTGATCAGTTCAGTATCGGGGGGGGGKGGGGAAGTGGGAGCAGAAAGGAGGGAGGGTTGGGGGAGAGGAGGGACCAGTGAGTGTGCAATGGCATTCCGAAGAAAGCAGACAACGAGAGCAGAAGAGAGAGAGAGAGAGGGAGGGAGAGAGATGGCATTAGTTGGCTCGTCCCATGTGAAACGGTTTTCACCTTTTAGCAGTAGCGGATGCAGTACCCAGGGTTCGATCCCTAGACCTCACCCTACCCATGTACAGTATCTGTGTAGACCCCG